TAGTGTTAGTAATGGCAAAATTCAAGACATGCGGGTTTATTTATAATAATTGGCAATAGCATCTTGTGAGATCTTTGGTTTAAAAAAAAAGACTTAACACCATATTCTTTGTTCTAACTGTATTAAAGCCATGGACTTTACTTTCAGCTATGTCAGATGTGACTTTTATATACTGGACTGGTAAATATTTTTGGTTTTCAGCCTAACAAGTTACCAGTTTACTGCATATTTCTGTATCACTAGCAGACAGACTTGTCCTGGGTGATTTAAAGGCAGGAATACTCTAAGGTTATGAAGCTGGTTAAGACACCAGATTAAGAGCAGACTTTTGTTTAGTTTCCAAAACCTGATAGTTCTCTCTTATGATTTGCTTTTGGAGGGTGTACAGTCATACAGTTCATACATAATCCAAAATATTTCTCCTCTTCTCCTTTCTTATAAAGACTTGCTGTGACTTTTACCCCTTTGGGTAGAGATGGGAGCAGCCATTTCTAGTTATGGAATCACAGAATGGGTTGGAAAGGACCTTCAAGATCATCGAGTTCCAACCCCCCTGCTGCGGGCAGGGACACTTATAGTTCCGTAAGATTGTGTCCATGCAAGTTTCCCCAAAAAAATCTCCACCTGTGACCTCATCCTTCAGGACGCTCAGTAGCCCGGGTGGGGTATGAGCCCTTCCACCCCTGCTGTTGTCAGGGAAGAGGGCACTCATTTCGGGGGGAGGACATCAAGGCAGTCTCTGTGCTGGTAATTTTGGGATAGATTTCCATCCTTTTTGATGGCACTTCTAAACTCCAAATAGTTATTTCAGAGCTGTCTGTGTGCGTATGGATGTGCAACCCAGTTAATAATTATTTTATTTAGCAAACAAATTTTAAAATTTGCAACTTAATTTTCTTTCTGTGATTAACTAATTCAATTTTTTTTGGCCCTTGGCCCTGTCACAGAATAAGTGGGGAAATTTTTGAATGACTAATTTTGGATCATGCAAAATATGCCTAGTACATAAGCATTTCAGTTGGCATTAACTATAAACAAATTTCCAGTGGTATTTAAATGTATGACCATAAAATACTTCTGCTGGCATTTCTTTGCTAGTTAGCAGCTGTTACAACAGTCTCCAAACATCTATTAAGTAAAGGAAGACATTTCGTAATATAGATTAATACAAATGAGCAAGAAGACGATAGGCAAAAAAAGCTCTTGGATACAACTGCCTTTTGTTCTTAATTGGAAAAGTGTATAAACAGACTGAATTTAAGTATGAATGTTAGACTTCAGCTGAGTTCCATAAGTTACACTGAGTGTAGCTTAACACATTTAATTTCAGACATAACTAACACTAATCAGATAGGGATTTTTGAAAACAATTTGTTCCATTTCAATGGAATTTCCATTTTACTCTCTGTAATCACAAATATGTAAATGGTAGCCAAAGCTGGATGTGAAGTTTCAGTTAAAAATTATTATTTTTTTTGCCCATTGTTTCTTCTAGCATCTTCTTGCCAAATCTTCTGGAGTTCTTGTAATTTCCTCTGTACAGAGCCCAACAGGCTCATCAACAGCAGAAGGTAAACATAATAGATGTGAGGAATTTCTGGAGATTTATGAGGTTTAGCTTTCTGAAATGTACACTGTGTCCAGCAATCCTAGGACGTGGCCATGTGGACTCTGTGAATTGAAAATGTTATAAATGGGGCATCATTTAGCTCCTGTTAGGAATAAAATTTAGGAAAAAAGATGTGTTCTGCAGTAGCACTTAAGTATTGTTTCTGCCCTGCAACAGTGTGTTTTAGCTCAAAAGGATAATCGTCAGGGAGGTTAAGCTTTTCTTAAAATGGCCATGAAATATGACAAACATATTAATATCCCTATTAGTTAATAAATTAAGCTTACTACCTATGGTCACCGATATCTCTTCACATTGAAACAATCAGATCAGAGATCATTATACAACGGCCTAGGAATATGGAACTACTCTGAACTAAGGAGATTGACATTATTGGGATTTGGTATCAAAAGCCTCAGAGGAAAAAATGTAAAAGCACAAGCCTCATAACTGTACCATTATTCTAAACATTAATTTGTTAAATTCTGCCATCTGTTTATGAAAATGTAATTGAAAAATTGCACTCCTACATCAGTTTATCGAGCTGATAAAAGAAGATACATTAGCGAAGACAGAAATATAGCATCCTAATGATCATGATAATATCACTGCATGTTAAAGTACTCTTTTAACCTTTTTCAGTGGGCTTTACTGATATTAATTAATCAGCTTGAATGCTGTCAACATCTCAAGCACTAGAGTGCTAGTTCCAGTTCTGTGCCAGGCATTTCTCTGCATCTTTTTCTTTTATATGTTTAGGTAGAAGAGCCTAGAAGAGCATTAGCAGAACAGTAGAGAGAGGCCTTTTCTTCCTGCCCATTGTTTACCCGTAGTATTACCTGATGGAAGAACTCATGTCCGTAAGCCTAGGATTTTCATGGGCTATTTCATTACTGTTCTCAAGGACTCGCATAAATGAAAGATAGGATCGTTTGGAGATAAATATTGCTGAGAACATCACTTTAACCCTCATCATCGTCCACAGTACACTAAAACAGAGGGAAAAGGTAGCCTTTAGTGAGAAAAAATGGTTAAACAAAAGCTTCTCTGACTTATGAGATGAATGACACTTAAAATGTTGCTCCTTGGTGTGTTTAAAATCAAAAACTTTGCATGGCTGCCT